GGGCCACCAACAGGTCTTCAGGGCCACCAATATATTCCCGAGGTCACCAGCAGGTCCCTGGAGACACCAGCAGGTCTTCAGGGCCACCAACATGTTCCCAAGGTCACCAACGGGTCCCTTGGGCTACCAGTAGATCCTCAAGGTCACCAACAGTTCTTCAGGGCCACCAACAGATCCCTTGGGCCACCAGCAGATTCCCAGAGCCACCAACAGGTCCTCAGGGTCACCAATATGTCCCGAAGGCCACCAGCAGATTCCCAGGGCCACTGTGCCGAAGGCAATGAGGAGTTTCCCGTGCTCCTGATGTTGTTTTGGCTCAGAGGGAGCCCCTTTAGGTGCCGTGTCTGGCACATTTCCAGCTTTGTCTGATCCCGGCGGGAAGCAGCTCAGCATTCCCAGGGCAGGCAGTGCCACCTTGGTGATGGCCCAGAGGTGGGAAGTGCTGTCCCGTGTTCCCATCCCTCGGGAATGGTGCCGTCTCCAGCCTCTTCCCTCCCCACGCTCCCCTGACCCGGTGCCAACATAACATTTGCGGCTCTACCACCCCATACTGGGAAAAGCTGGGAGAAGTCCAGGATCGATCAGTTTTAGGGAAAATCCAGGCTTTGGCAGGCTCAGGGTGGGGGGGTCAGTGAGACCCTCCGCTGGGAAGGCCGCAGCTCTGCCGGCTGCTGACGGGAATGTGTCAGGTCTGGCTCCGTCCTGTGTTCCTGGACTCTGCCCTGGTTCTCCAGCACCAGGATGTGGCATCCAGGACATCCCGGCAACAGCCCCGGCACCCTTGGAGAGCCTGGGGGTTCCCAGGCTGGTGTGCTTTTCCAGCCGTGTCAGTGGGGAGAAAACCTATGGAAAAGGGGCAGGCCCGTCCTGCTGCCTGGGAGAAATCCCAAATGCCCCCAGAATCGGTGGCATGGTGCTGGCGTGCTCCAGCTGGGAACTGGGAGCAGGAGGGAGAGGCAAGGAAGAGGGGGAGCCGTATTCAGACTCGGTGGAGAAGCGAATTCCCACCGGGAATCCGGACAGACGGACGACGGCGGGCGCAGGCAGCCAGGGCAGGGCTAAGGGCACGTCCCGTTTTCCAGCATCCCTTTGGCGCAGAGCCGTCGGGATCGGGGGCGTCCTGGGGGTCCACGCTGAGGGTCTGGGTGCTGTGCCCCGCTCCCGGTTCCACGGGATCCATCCGGGAGCGGGCAGGGCGCGGTGCCGCCTGGCACGGCGCTGGCAGAGCTCGCGCCTCCAGCTGGCGCGGGGCCGACGGGAGCCAGATTTAGTTTCCTGTGACTGAGAGGTTGTAAATTGAACTAATTTAGGATTCCATAGGAAAACGAAAGGAGGGCGGCGGCGGCGCGGGGGGAGGGGGCAGTGCCCGGGCAGTGCCTCCGGCTCCGGCCATCCCGGCTCTCCCCTCCTTTCCACTCCCTTCTCTCCTCTCTCTCTTCCTCCCGCCTTTCGCTCTTTCTTCACCTCTTTATTTCGGTTTTTGGAGCTATTTATCCTTCCCCTGCCATCCCCCTCTACCCCCGCCGCTGGCATTGCACGATGGCACAGCTTTGTCCCGTGGCAACGCCGGGATCGGGATGAGGTCGGCGGGTGCCGCTCGAGGCGACTCCTCGGTGGTCCCTGGGGGTATTTTGCCCCCCGGTCCCGCGGCCACGAGCATTCCAGGCCGCCACGGGCATTCCCGCCTGGCTGCATGGGCCGCGCCAGGCATGCGCTGCTTCCTCGCCGGCATCCCGCCCGCTCTTCCCGCTCTGGAAGCCTGTCCGTCCCGGGCCGGGCTTCTCCGCGTCCCACCGGAGCCGCGTCCGCATCCACCGTCCCAGAGCTGGGAGCCTCCCACCTCGGGCATCCCTCCCCGGGACCCCCCCGGCTCGCTGGAACGTCCCCACGGCGGGGATTCGGCCCCGCGGGATCCCCCCCGATCCCGGCGGGATGGGGACGCGGAGCCCCCGCGGCGCGGGCGCGGGGCTGGGCGGGGAGGGAGCGGGGCCGAGGGGCCGGGCCGGCGGCACGTGAGCGGCCGCCGCGGGATTTGCCTCCTCGCAGCAGCCTCATTCTCCCGCAGACGAGGTCGGGCGCCGGGAAGCGGAGCGGCAGCCGCGGGAAGCGGGTGGGCACATCCAGCCCGGCCGAGCCCCCCGGGGGGGGACGCGGGACAGGCGACATGGTGGCGGCACGAGCCCCCCGGGCCCCCGGCAAGGCCGAGCCGCGGGCGAGAGGCGGAGGATCCGGGCACCGCTCCCGCTGGCTCCCGCCAGAGCGTTCCCTGCGCTGGGGCATCTTCTCTCTAACTCTCTTCTTTTCCTTCCTCCAATTTTGCCCCTTCACCTTCTTCTCCTTTCTCTCCTCTCCTCTGCCCTTCCTCTCCCTAAGTTTCGAGGACTCCACCCTGTCCACAGCCACTACCCTTGAGTATATCCCCACCTCAGCAGGCGATCCCAAATTCCAGAGGCCCCGCACGCTCATGCGCCAGCAAAGTCTGCAGCAGCCCCTCAGCCAACACCAGCGCGGCAACCACAGCCAGCCCACCACCAGCCAGAGCCTGGGCCACCTCCAGGCCCACAGCGGCCCCTCCGGCACCGCCGCCAACTCCCGCGGCGCCCGCGGCGGCCAAACGCGCCAGGGAACGGCCGCCGGCTCCAAGCAACGCATGGCCGGGGGCCGGAGCCGCTCCAACCCCGGCAGCTGGGACCACGTGGTGGGGCAGATCCGCAGCCGCGGCTTGGACATGAAGTCCTTCCTGTAAGTGTGTGCTCTCCAGCGCTCTGCCCTCCGTCGCCATCCCCATCGCCTCCTCCTCTGCTCCGCCATCCTCTGCATCTCTGTCTCCTCTGCTCCATCGTCCTTTCCATCTCACTCTCCTCTGCTCCTTTGCCTGCTCCATCCCTGTCTCCTCTGCTCCATCCCCGTCTCCTCTGCTCCATCCCTGTCTCCTCTGCTCCATCCCTCTGCTCCATCCCTGTCTCCTCTGCTCCATCCCTCTGCTCCATCCCCG